ATTCCACTGAAATATATTTTCCTACTTCCTCGTAGATGAATTTGAAGACCACACAAACATTCAGTTCAGGAGTGCTACACTGACTTTTCACTGTCATTGTTTCCTAAGTCAAAATACTATGTATTACTTAGGAAATGCATTAAGTATTCTAAGTATATTGCTTTACTACCTTTACCATCCAAAGTTGGAGCTCAAAGGAAAGAAAACAGTTTGAAAAGACTCAATTTCTTTAAACTTGCTTTGTTTGAGCAAGTTTAACTTGCAAATTAACTACACTTCCATCCTTTAATTACTTTAAATCATTATTTGAATAGGTTTTATATTGCTATTTTTGCATAGTCTTACTGCCAGTGACAAGCCTATAGCTTACCCACGTTACCGAAGCTTAGTATTGGTACATTAACACTTTCAGTCCATTGTCCATACGATTGTCTCCAGCTCCTCCTCTCTAAGTGATTTCACTGGGTAAAGCTGGAGGTCCAAAGGTCACCTGGTACGGCCACTAAAATTCAACATCTCTCCAACCCATACTATGGTATCCGAGCATCTCTGTGGTATCTAAATAGCCATACAACATTGGACATTGACTGGAAGATTTATAAATGCAGCTTTCTCAACCATAGCTCACTTTTACATCAAATCTGTTTTAACAGCAAACCCCATAACATTCAATTCACATAAGCAATGTGAATTCTTGTTCTTGTGCCTTGTCCTTTGAAAATTCTGGAGGAACTACTTTGGTCCTCAATCAAATGACAGGAGAAAGAAAAGAACTTTGTTAAAGAAGTTTTTCACAACAGGATGTAAAAAGCGTGCCCTTTCTTCCTCTGTACTTTCACAACATCAAGGTGGCAAAACAGTCTTTAGCACATCTTCCTCTCCTTGGTAAAAAGACTCCAGTCAACACCACACCTCCAGAATTTAATTTCAACAGTTTTCATGTCTTCTTACCAACTTGGAAATGTGTTCACACAGAAGTGTTAGTTACTATATAATAAAATACCCACCTCCTGAGTAACAAGGGCAAAACTACATGAACTACATCAAGCTTATCTGTAGAATGTACAGTTTGTCACAATTTACAGCTTCCATCAGAGTCACTCAGGAAGACTGCAACTGGCCCATGCTTCAACCACCAACATGGCCACTTTCTTTCTCTGCAATCTTCCAAGTCAAAATTAGCTAAAGTGTTCTTACAACTTTGAGATTCTTTCAAGATCTGATTCGCCATTCTCGCCTAAGATCTTGGAGTCTCCAACTCAATTCAAGACTGGTTCAAGAGAGTCCAAAATGGACTGACTTACAGGAGACCTTCTGTAGCTCAATAGGAGTTCACTAGACCACATGAAGAAAACAACATCCTCACGCAAGGTTTTATTAAATGCAGTATCTCTTGGACACTAATCCTTAATGAAGAACAAATTAAGACCAGGTATAAAATGAGAGTTTTGCTTTTCCAAACATGAAGTATCATTTCATCCAAATATACTAACCTGCCAGAATTAGTGCAAAGTTTGAAAAAGGACCAGATAGGTTTTCAACAAATGTTTCACAAATACACAGTTTTAACCAAATAAAAACCACCTGCCATTACTGTATAACAGAACACAGATTTCTAATAATATTTTGGTAGAAACCAGATTTTTACGGTGGAGTCGCAAGGTATATTCTTTTTTCTCTTTTGAAAGACAATTTAGAGAGTAAATGTGTGATCCAAATGCTTTAAACCCAATGTTTGGCTAGCTTACTTGTACATCTAACCAACTCCATGTAGTTCTAAAGTTGAAAAACAGCATTTAAAAAAATCTCATTCATGTAATTATTTTTTTTCTTCAAGGCAATTACTCCACTAGGTCACTTAGGTCTATTTATTTTTTAAACGTAGAATACTAAGAAAAATTTATAAAACCAACATGGAAATCAATATCCTGAAAATGTCTGCCCTGCTAATGTTCTAGTCAAAAAGATTTTTAAAAGCTGTAATATGATTGCATAATTACAAAATATAAGTGGCATAAAAATTAAATTATAAGTCCCAGAAACTAAGAACACAAAAGCGCCAGTCAACTTTCTCAAAATATAATTATGAAAATTAAAAAGGATATTTTATTCTGTTACTCCTTACCACAGATCGTTATTTTCTGTGTCATCTTATGAAAATACTGATAATGGACACACCATTAGACAAAAAGCATTAGTACAGATGGACTAATAGTCTCTTCCAGTATTGTAGTTTCCCAGACTCTAACCCACAGTTATAGCAAACTATTTTCCTTTCCTTAATAATTCTTTCTGACATGTCAATGTATGTAAAAAGAAGCCAAAAAGACTCATACCCTTTAATGCAGTAGTCTTCTCTTTTTCATCTGAACCTCCTTGCTGGAGCTGAGCCATCATTATCCAAACTGTCAAAAGATTTAAAATACTGAGGTAAATGTACATTATCTTCGAAGGACAATCTGAAAATCAACAAGAGTTGGAAATTAACAAATGTACTGACTTCTACTTCAACACATCTCATTTGCTGTTGCTTACATCACAAAAAAACAGAATCTGGTTGAAAAGCAAAACTTCCTTGAGTCTTATAAACCCCTGTGATATGTAAAATAAAATTAAAACGAACTTCTTCCTCTCCTTCAAAACTTATACCGGACACTGTAAAGTCTCATCACACTATCCTGGATTAAGATATTTTACAACAAAGCGTGACACATACTCCAGAATAAAGTTTGGTCAAAGATTCAAGTTCACAAGAATGAACACTAACTTCTCCCTAATGCTAAAAGGACATCTACCTTATACTTCTTTTTTGTGGTTCTGACGTAACATCAGTAAATAATGAGCCTTTTGGAGAAGCACTACACTTCTGAGTCGAAAATAGAAGATGAAATAAAATCCAAAACATAATCAACAGAATTTCCACAATCTTTAAGGATTTTCTTCATCAATTAACTCCACTTTACTGTTCTTATTGTACTACACAGTTTTGTTTTGGTAAAACTACATGGGCTACACAGTTTTAAACCACTGCGATTTCTACAATACATTATCAGCACTTAAATGTATAGAGTAAATGTCCATCTTTAGAATGAACCTCAAGATGATCAAGGTGAGAAATTACATGCAGAATGTATTTCTAAGTTTCTCCTCTTGCACAAAAGGCAACCCAGACATTCAAACCTGCAGCCTCTTCCATCTTGAATCTGACACCAAGGGAGCAAACTACCACATCACAACCACCACGTCTTCCTTCTCAATAAAAAGACTTCTGTGCATTGAATCCTTTTTTCCTTCAACTTTTTTGGTTCCTTGTTTTATCTGTCAGTCATTATCAATTTGTTTTATTCTTCTCCCCAATATACTTTACCGTGGATGAGTTTGCACAAACAGTATCTCTGCAGCAATTTGTAACTTTCAAACAAAGAGTAATAGCATTCACCAACTGTACTACTGGTTCCCTAATACTTACACCTGTAAGAAAGACCCCAGAATGGTTTCTTTTAAATAACAGTAGTTCACTGTAAAGGCAGCAGAAAATAAATAAATAAAGCATAACAAAGATTATTTTTCTATTGTCTTGAAAGAAAATGTATTACGTGAAACATCTTCTTGTAGATTAAGGAAAAACACAGCAATTTAAGGGGGTGATTGTTATTAACTATGGAGAGGGTTTTGCAGGGGAGCATGGGGGTTGTTGTTTGTTAGGTTTTTTAAGCTGGAGTTCAAGAAAGTCTAACAATCCATTCTGCAAGTTGGACCTACAGCAGACTTTGACATTTCACTTTGCAGAAGGCTGTTCAGATTAAGCTGATGGGAAACGACAGCACATTGCCAAAAGTCTTTTAAAGACACAACTCCAACAGAAAAGCTCTGTTTACATTGTGTACTTTTAAAATTATGACGCAACTCAACATGATTCAGTTAAAATGTGCATCTTTTGGCTCACACTTTAATCATGTTAGCACTCATAACACTCATCCACAAAAATAACAGCAAAGCCACAGAGACTTTTTTTTTGGTATTTTCTAGCATATACTATAGTCAAGGCAAATACCAAAATGACTCAAACATCATGTTTAATGGTATTAAAGACTTTTATCAGATGCTTCCATATAGTCCACTGACAACAAATCACCAAATATAAAATCTTGTCCATCATCAGCTTGTACATCTGCAGCAAAAAAAAACATGTACATCCTTGTAAATAATTCAGAAAAGAAACTACCACATTCCCATTTAAATTATTAGATGTGCTGGAAAACAACAGTGATAGCGTTTTGTGATAGCCCAGATGAAAACTGTTCTAGTCATACAATTTAGGTAGTCCTCCCTACACAAGATTTGAAAATTCATAATTAGGTATTAAGTTAAAGCAGTAGCAAAGTACATACAGGTGCTCAAAGACTTGTTATTACCCAAGGGAAGAAACATAAAATTTATCCGAACAGATTTACCTTGACAAACTAACCGTCATCCCCTAATCAGATATATCAATTCAGTGACCAAGAATCCCTGGCATTCTTGCCTCTACAATGGATACCCCCCTTCTTCCTTCAACAGATGAAGACCCTGCCACTGAGGAAAGAATAGGTAACTTAAGAGGTTCACTTGCCAAGCTAGAAGCACCAAAACAAATAAATAAACAAATAAATCTGAATTTAGCTTTGAGAGAGAGAATTTCCAGCTCTTTCTGACAAAGTAAAAAACTGTTACAGCAGCCACTGGAGGGAGGACTTGATATTAGAATGAGGATGAAACAAGCACACAGTATTTTATGCATTGTTTGTGTGAACACAGCATTTTGTTGAATCCCTCACTGATATTTGTTTAAACGACAAATAGAATAAATTAGATGAGAGGGTTGGATTTCCTTTCTTTGACAGATAGATGTCGAATCAACTACGGTCTGATGGTGCAGAAACAAAGAGTGGGAAAATTATAAAGTGCTCTGAGTGGTTGCTTATAGGTAAATGCAGGAACTGCAGTTTTTTCTAGGCATCAGTTTCAAGCCCCAGGGATCTTCAACTGCACACACTGACCAGTCCTTGTAATTCACAAATAATACCATCAAGTTTCTCATCATAAATACAGATTATTATAAAATGTGTTATTCTGTATAATTACTTACACAATTCCTTTAAAAACATCTTTTTGCGATTGTTTTTTTTCACTAGCTACAGCAAGCATACTTCCTAAAAATCAAGTTACTATCTCACCTGAAGAAATATCTACAGTAAGTAAGTTTATTGCCAAGAGAATGTATGTTTATTTGTACATATCTTGCTTTCCCATGCAAGCTTAAGTACTCTATCATAAAATATCTTATGTATGTTCTGTGCCTCTTCAACTCAATGCCCAGCAATATTTAAAATAATGTGACATAATTCTGGTTTCATGTGAGAGAACAAGGCTGTGTTTTCATCACACCCCTATTAATGACCCCACAGAACTGGTGGATTCACAAACAAATTGTCATTAGTTTTAAACAAATAAACAAAACACAAAAAAACCCAATCAAATCTAAGAGGCTCTTGCACACTTCAGGGAACATACATAAATATTTCATGTTCTTGTCTGCAAAGTGGTACTGGAAGTTTGGACCATCAAGCTTGTGATTGTATAACAGTGTCCATCTTCAAATCAAACTAGACACTGTATCATATATTCTGTCTCTGAAACAAATGCACACACACACAGATTTCTACAGACTTCCATTACTCTTCATTGTGCAAATGCAGCTAGAAATGTGGCCAAAAAAATGTAGCATTTGATTTTGCTCTACATTAGCAATATCCGAAATTAAGTGAATGCTACAAATGATCCAAATAAAGGCTATAAATAACTGTAGTGCTAACCCACGGCAAGTGCAACATAAGAAGAAAACCCACAAATATTTTCAAAGAGCACAAGTCCATCAGGTTTATCTGGACATAATTTGAACAGGGGTCATCAGAATGCTTCTTTGTATCGCACTGCTTTATCAGAATACAGTTGAATTAGAGTCTTGTTCTCTGCAAAGTGACATCCCAAGCAAGCCAGGGACAAGTATGGGTTAGATTTGTGCAATGAGGCTGATGACTGAGCAAGACTCAGTTTTTCTTCAAAGAGATGGCTGGGTGACAGTTTGGCTCCAGCCCCTTCTCTCTATTGGCTCAACAAAGCAAAAACCATATACTTCAACCTTAGTATTATTTTCTGTCTAATTAGACTTTATCTATTCCTGCTTTCAGGGCAGTACAGATGATACCAGTAACTGCGTCAATTAAGGTTGTACTTCACTTTCCTTCACTTACAAGACCTTATTTTCAACTGCTTATAGGTTTGTCAAACTTCCAGCTGTGAAAGCCAATTATTTCCAGTCTGCTTTAGACTAAATGGTTTTGAAAAAGTTCAGCTAAAACGTCTACCTCTCGTATAAGAAGCTTCAGAGACAGTATCTTCTGCTCAGTGTTGCTGATGTTAATCAAGCACCTACATCATCTCCATGTTGTGGAGATCAGAAATTTAGCCAGAGTATCAGCTTAGCAGTGTGTGCCTCTTGCCATTACCCTTAAAGCCTGCCCAGATCTGCTCAAGTAAAAATTGCTCCTTGCACAAATGTAATATAGACTCATTAAGATTTACCAGAATTTCCAGAAAATTTACCAATTTGCCTAGAGCATACTCCATACAGCTGCAAAAAGCCAGAGGGAAGATACACAGGAGGGGAGTCATAAATGCTAAAAAAGCAGGATCTTCAATCACTAGAATGCAAAGAAACTGGCAACGATCCTAAAGTCCTTGAAAGTCAGTACATCTTCGCATTCTACCAAATGGTGGTGGTACTTGCTGATAAAGTGCGTGACTGCAGCTGATAATAAAGGTTGATTTATCTGCATACCAGATACCTTACAGTGTTATTTACCATCTAAGCTCAAAAAGCAGAGAACAACAAGCTAGATGCATTAGCATCCCAACCGTGTCAGCAACTCAGTTGTTTACACAAGGCAGAGTCAACATGATTCCACATGCTGAAATTTTAATTATTTCAGTTCAACTTTCCTGAAATGCTGGAAATGACCTTCATAAACATATGCAAGTAAACACAATCAAATATACATGTCAAAAGAATACAAAAAGAGGCAGCACAACCTTAACACAGCCTCTGGGAGGTTTACAACATCATGGTGTTACAAACGAAACACAAGGTTCAAAATGATCCTCAGTAATTCTTCTGTAGTAGCAACAGCTTTGAACACACGTACTGGTTTTGTCTGGGATAGAGTAAGTTTTCTTCTAACTTGTACGGGGCTAACTTGTATGGGGCTATGTTTTGGATTCATGATGGAAATAGTGTTGGTAACAAAGGGATGTGCTTGTTATTGCTGAGCAGTGCTTACACAGAGCTAAGGCCTTTTCTGCTCCTCAGACCACCCCATCAGTGAGGAAGCTGGGGGTGCACA